AGACTCGTCACCCGACGTTATTCATCGTCAAACTGGTGTCGGATTAAACTCCTAAGTTCTCATCAGTCACATTTCACCGTGTAAAACATCTGTTTTATCCCCTTGTATGAGTTTGTAATGGTTTGACTCTCTTTATAAAGTGCTTCCTGGCTCCCCCCGTCTCCAAACTTTGAGGCCCGGCAGCTCTCTGTTTACAAGCCTAGTAGCGAGAAACTGTTTTGATTGGTTGTTTCGAAAATGTGGTGTGTTTGAGGAAATGGGAAAAATAGATTTCATGGTGCAGTCACGCACTTCCTGGTCACAAAATATTCTCTAAATGTGCACCAAATGCGTAAAAATGCGCACATTATGGCAAGAATTTTTCATCATTAAATCTGGGTTTTAACATTACTTTTATAAAGTTTGAAGTCCGTGCTGTCCAATCCATCTCACTGTTTTTTACAGAAGCCCTGTGAAAGCATCACAGCTTTGCCGATCTCAGAGTGTTAAAAGAAAAAAAATTCCAGTATTGGCATCGTGATCTGGAATATCCCCAAATTTTAAGGGTTTGTTACTTAGGTCAGTAACCACGTGGTAAAAATGTCATGACAATCCGTCCGCAAGTTTTTGAGTAATGTTGTCCACAGACAGACATACGCGACCGAAAACATTACCTCGCCCTTGGCAGAGGTAATAAAACACTCACACAGAGATTCATGAAGAATTGATTATTTCTGAGGCAAAGTCAAACTTGAAATTGGCCAACATGTTAACTTAAAACCATTAATAATTTATCTTTGCACCAAATATTCTTAAAGTAGGTGGAAGTTTCTGCATCCTTTTTTGTAAAGTGACACCGCACTTTGTACCGTTTTGCTTTCGACATTACGACTTTTCACGGCAGCGACACCTGTTTAGCCCCTCTCCATGAACTCGGTTCTGCTCGATTCACTTTGATCAGGTTGGTTCTGCTCGGTGTCCATGTTTAACAGCATTTAACAGCTTTCTTTGAGGCACTGAAGTTACTATTGTGTTTCGATCCGTTCACCACCGTTTATGTTCGTCCCTGTGCCATACCCGAACCGAATTTCTGTACCCAACCCTGCCTTTAGAAAGACCTGAGTGTTTCAACTCGTACTGACTTGTAACTGGATCAGCTCTGCGGTGAGGGAGAAGACATCTGCACCATATGTTAAAGCAACATGTCATTCTTCCCAAATGCAGCAAAGCAAACTTCATACATCCATGTGAAAACACACCTTTTAATTATGACAATATCAAAACTTGATCTCAAGTGCAACAGATCCTTCCAGGGGAAAA